GGGGGGGTATGTCTTTTTGTGCAATTATGCACGTTGTATATTATGTGCAAGGATGATTTCTGATATTTTGGATTATCTTCTTGAAGTACAAGGGATTTTATATAATAATATACAGTTAAGAAATAATATATCTGCTTCTTTCCTTCAGACGTATTTTGCTTTGTTTTTGTTTGTTTGGGTGGGGGGGGGTTCAATTTGGGAATGGAGAAAGGAGGGTGCTTTTTTATAAATCTGAACGTTTTAAGTTGTCTTTCTTTTTGTGGGCTTTCATGTGCATGTTTGTGTGAGGAAGAACTGATCGGCTGAGAGCGTGTATGGTAGGCGGTTGTGGACTGGCGAAAGGCCCTGGCTGTGTTTGAAATACTATGTCTGTGAGAAAGGTAGAGAGCTGAATCTGATTTATGTCATGTGGCATTGCATTCCCAGTGTATTCAGTTACTTCACTGCACAGTGCTTGCTAATATCTGCACCATTGAACGCTTTGAAGATGTATACTATGTTTATAAAGTTCAGATTTAGCATGACGGTGTTGTTTGAGTGAGTGACCATAAAAAGTGAAGTTGTGAGGGAGAATGAAGCAAACAGGGTGTCAATTAGGCAAACAGCAAGAGAAATGATAGGGGGAGGGTGGGTGGGGGGTGTCTGTAAGGTGTGTGTGTATGTTGCAAGGTGTTATTCAGCTCTGATTTGTGTCTCTGTCAGAATGGATGTCTGCGCAACCCTTTGACTTGGAATTTATGTTGGAGAAAAACCATGTAGGCGCTCTTTACACCCCCATCGACACAATTTAGATAATTTAGGAGGCAGGCTTCGACCCTTCCTGTCATGGCCAGCCAGGGCTGAAAGGGATGCAACGTCCCAGCAGACAAACCGAGAAATTCGATTTCAAAAATACCCCCCACTCAGAAGTCAAACCAGGTCTTCTGTGTTCGACGGCAAAGACTAAAGACACCGATAATATGTGTTGGAGCTTTTATCTTAATATCAAAAGGTGGAAAGGGGTATAGCTTAATTATGTTAGAGTAATATTCATTAACATTTTTGAAACATGTGAAGCAATTTGTCAATCATGTTATTTCATTATGGTGTGTGTGTTTGTGGTCTTCACCCCGACTTTGTTGCTTGCCTGTCTCAGTACCGGGAGAGCCCCGCAGAGTGCGGGTTGAGGCCATCAATTCTACCAGCCTGTACGCGGAGTGGGAACCGCCCGATGACAAGGAGAAGAACGGCGTACTGAGAGGCTATCAGGTGAGATGGGCCCCAACTTCTGTATGGGTAGAAAATGAACACTTGTCGTGTTCATTGTGTTGCTCAGACATAATGTAGACTTTAAGTTGACACATGCTTCATTTATGTCTTGTTTTTTTTTTTTGGTTTTTTTTTTTGGTCTTGTTTATTTGTTTCCTTCCTGCATTGCATTGGCTCTATCAGTCTATTTGTCTATTTTTTCCCTTTTTGTCTAAACCCTCTCTCTGTCTGTTTCTATCTCTCCTTCTTTCCTCTCTCTCTCTCTCTCTCTCTCTCTCT